ATTATCACCAAGCAGGTCGATAAAGGTACGCAGCCTTTTTGTGAAAATGATTTGCTGCTTGGTAATACAGCTCTCTCCTAGTGGTTGATTGCTTTCTCTTTCAATCCCGGGCTGGCTTTGAGCACAATAGTTGGGTCAGCCTGCAGTTCGTACTAATTACACCTGCCAGGCGTGAATCATAACAGATCCCACGGATTGGAAGTGCCATAAAGGTCACATTACGAAGGAGCCATTGCAACCTGACTCAGATTCTTTAGTGAGGAACATACGCTGAGACATCGACCTCACTCTCCACACCCATTCCCAGGGCTCGTCATCCAACCATATTCTCAACAGAAATTGTTGTTTCTTTGCATGAAATCTACAACTGCAACAATGACTGCACTGCCCTCTGTTTCATAAATTCTCACACATTTGTAATGCCACCCGGATTCACGCAACACGATTCAAGGTGAGTGTTGTGGAATAGGGTAAGGAGATGAAAGTGAGGCTCGTGTTAAGCACAACAATGTTACTACAAAGGGAACACTTTTGAGACATTTACTATTATAAAGCCCAGGTGGTTGATTTGGGAGGTATTATAACCGAGTATTTTCTTCAGGAATACTGCACAGCCTACATGATACGTACAGGGAAAGTAACTCGATTCAGATAACTCGGCTCCCAGCCAATCAGATTATCCTTGGAAAATCTATTTAACCAGCACCGAATCAGCCTGTGCACGCGACCCGACAGTTCGACCGTCGAGTCCGACAATGTTCACCTCGCACCCTCCACAGTATACAAGGACGATGATTTTAGCGTTTATTATAGTGATAGTAGCCTTGCTCTGCATCTAACGCACTTTTTCTCCCTGTCTCATCCGAAGCGAGAGGAGAGGGGGTCGGTTCAGGGAGGGGGATGGGGAGAATCGGTTCGGATCCCAAGTGCATGGGAATGCCGTAGAGGCCACAGTAAGAAGGAGCTATTACAGTCGGACTAGACCGGACCTCTGTCTGTTCCCAGACCCTCTGGTTTAAGGAACAGTATTTCACAGGAGGGCGAGGTGTGGGGACCAGATTATCCTGCCGGTTGGCATTATTCCAAGCCGAAGCTTTTAGCGCACTTTAGCAGACTACCTTTTCTCTCTCGCGCGGATATTAGTTCCCGTCCCAATTCTCTGACGCAGGAATTAAGGGCAATGGCTCTGCAGCGAATCTAGGGACGCTATCACGAATCCCAGACTAATAATAACAGGATAAGACAGAAATGATGCAAGAAGTAATAATCTACAATTAAACGATCTGACAGCCAGCAGATGCTACATGCAAGCCTTCAAGCACGGATTGTACACATTCCGTAAAACTTCGAGACTGGAGGGTGGCCTGAAGCGACGCCGAAAAATATGTTGACGTCTGAAAGAAAGGAGTGATTAACCGATCAGGAAAATGGACATGATGACCACTATGAGTAATATATAAAGGGAGGTAAGGTGGGGTGGGGTGTAGATGACGAGTCGGTGTGTTCGGTGGCAGACTTGTTGTAAGTTGGAGGTGGTGACAGGTTCAAATTGCGGACAGGAAGGAACAGGGGATGTTCGGGAAAGTGGGATAGAATGTTGGGGAGGAGGGTAAGCAGGGGGACAAGTGACCAGAGGGCTCGTCCGACGAAGTGTGCGGGACAGCATCTTTGAGGTGGGTCATGCCCACGACCTCCTCGCCAGTGCTACGCTGGATTCGGGAGGTTTTCATCCCTCGAGAGACAACCCGGTAGGTTATGTCGTAGGGTGGATTCAAGAGCAGAAAGACCGCCCGTCTGTGCATGCTACGCCTCCACAGGATCTTATATGTGTGAGGGCGCGATTCCCCCTCGTCAGCCATATTAAGAGCTCAACCTGGTGGCAGTGGCTATTGTCCAGCACTGCAGGTTAATAAATGTGGAAACATCATTTTATGGGTACTGTCCAAACAGAAGGGGCTCTTGGGTGCGTCCAGCACTCGGTCAACTTCAGGAGTTGTACGCCACTTATTTTGACTGAGATAACTCGAGCGAGCGTTCTCAACAATCATGACTGCCAGCTACTTCGTTACTTTTCTGATGTTGTGCTATCGACAGAGTGGACAAAGCTGCCCTAGCGATACCCTTAACTCGGGTGTGTTCTTCCTCTAGTCAACCGCTTAACCGTCGAGTAATCCACCCACGGCATTGTCTGGACTTATCTCGAGGTTCAGGTGTTGCAAACAGGTGTGATTTTCGCCTTTTTAGCAGACGTAGAGACGACTACTGGTTTTATTGTGCAGGGCGAATAAATCTGCGAAAGTGCATGGATTTTTGTTGTTGTCGACCGCATACGATGGGGGAGGTGACAGGGGCTTCAGGGCAAGGCGTTCGACCGACAGAGTCGGGATCTTAAGTCCGATTCAGTGTTTTGGTTTTGTAGATTGACACCGACAAGCAATCCGGAAAGGATTATTTCACAATGATAGATATGCGTTCACTGATTGGTAACGGAACTCATTCCTCCTGTTGTAGCTTGTAACCCGCTCTCGAGTTTATCCAGCATCTGCTCAACGACTAGTATAGTATAGGTATAAATACGAATGAATGAGAACGTCCGATTTCCAGGTATTTGCATCCTTGAAGTAGAAGGAAGGTCGAACATTAAATACATTACTGAAAAAGATAAGGGAGACCAAAATGGCCATTTCTGGCTTGTTGGCTATCGTCAGTCAGTCATACCCAACACCAGGAGTGCCGGCCCCCTGAAGCCTGTACCCACAACCTCGTTAGTTAGAAGTCCAACACCATATGCACTAGACAACTGGCCCGTTGCCTTGACGGCTTAAACTGGGAATAGGTGATCACCGATCGGTTACTGAACGCACTCATCATGCTGTATTTCTGCCTACAATGGTTAGTTCAGTCGACCGTACTCTTCCAGCAAATCGCCGCTCAGCTTGCCTTTACGTTTCGTTGTGTTTTGTCGTTCAGTCTTGGGTCATTCAGACGTGAAGTTGATCGGTATTTTGAAGTATTCGCCAGCCCATTCATCTGTGGGAGCTTCACGTCGAAATCAACGACGAAGCGAAATTATCCGTGTTCTTTTATGCCACGAAGATATTCAGACTACCGTTATTTCCATGCTACTTTGTGTAAACTAGAAAAACAACAATTCTATCCAGATTTCAGTTGTGAATTGCAGCCAATAAATCATAATAAACCAATACGTATTCACGCACAGTTAAACTACACTTAAACGGCTGCGTGTTTAAGAAACTATTTATGACCTCTCCTCCCCACAAACTGACGTTTTAAAAAAATGCGCTCCTTCAGTAATCTACTGCCCTGAACTGCCCGACATCAATGGAAGCCACCCCATCACATACTTCTTCAAAGTGGATCGGGAAATCGGTGATACAGTTGCCATGGCAACCATCTCTTGCCCTCCGCAATTCCGACTACTGCCGGCCATTCTAAACACCAGCCTGCCACCGGAATCCCTTCCTAGTGAACAGACGATCCACTGTGACTCTCATCGGAATCGCTGGAGTTCTCCCATTCCAGTAGCTTGTCTGACTAGTAAGTGGAAGTGTTTGGTCTCTGATTTTGACTGGAGTTCGCCGTCTGCCCCGTACGAAAACTCTGTTTAGTACTGATCCCTTATAAGTTACAACACAGTTAATATACATAACTACCTATTTTAGTTTCTACTTAAGTTTTAGTTTAGTTTTTATTTATTTTAGTTTAGTTTGAGTGTATCTTATTATTCAGGTTTATTAGTCTCATTTTAGTTTGTTTTATTTTAGTTTAGGTTTATTAGCGACATGCGGTTTAATTTAAGTTTATCGTACTACAATATTTGTCCAAATACAATAGAAGCTATTGCGAGTTTTAAAAAAAAGTGGGAAGAAAGCCCTCCTTTCATGCTTTTGCTTCAATCTCGAAAAATCGATATTCGATGGTTGTTAATTCGCGGGCGTTATTTGCGTAGTTCTTGTTTCCTATCGGCCGCATTCTCATTTTATTTATCGCGCGCTTTTTGTTGCCAAACGTTGGGTTATTGAAATAATTGTTCCTTATTTTTCCTACTTTAGTACGCTCTAGTACTCCCATCCGAATAACCTCTGTTAACATCGGTCCCGTACTGCACGGACCTGGGGTTTTTTGTTACTGTGGCGTTACTTATAAGAAATCCTTAACCTGCTTTCTTTTAAGTGTCCGGTTAAGCGCGATGGAGATGGTTTAAGCGATTGTCCTCAAAAAATGTTTCCGTTTTTTAGTTGAAGAAATCGCAGAGGCCTACTTAGCAGCAATACCAACTACTCAGCCATCGACAGAGGCACCGCCGACTTCGTGCTGTACAAGTGAGGAACCCGCGGTTGTCGTACCCATTGACCATCAGGAGAATCCCATCGTGGGCCCCGTCAACGATTCCCTCATGCCGAGTGGATCTATTGGTGAGTACATCAAAGTTAGCTGGTTGCTACTCCGTTTCTCAGGTCAACGTTGGGGTAAATGTTGCCCAAAAGCCGATATATCACAGTCTGTATCACAGTCTTGTGTGAGTCTCCAGGGAAGAACACAATAAAAAGGGGC